GGGGTGCGGGGCTGGCAGCGGGCAGGGGGTGCGGGGCTGATGCGGGCAGGGCAGGGGGTGCGGGGCTGGCAGCGGGCAGGGGGTGCGGGGCTGATGGCGGGCAGGGCAGGGGGTGCGGCAGGGACTGGAGACAGGGGCTGGCTGGGGCAGGGTGTCTGGTATTCACGGGGAGAGCGGCTCGGAGCAGCCCGAGCAGCAGGACGCAGCCCAGGCCCAGCAGAGCAGCTGGGGACCCACCAGGCAGCAGCGGGAGCCCCAGGGCCAGGGGTCGGGGGAGCAGCAGCAGCAACAGGGCCAGGCAGAGGCCCACATGGCTCCGCCATGCAGCGCCCCCGGTGGCCAGAGGAGGAATTATGCACTTCCCGGCCGGAGCCCATCAAAGCCACAGCGCCCCCTCCTTGCAGGGAAGCGGGTTAACAACCGGTTCTAAAACCGCTTCAAAATTTAACAACCTGTTCGCGCAAACTGGTGCGAACCGGCTCCAGCTCACCACTGGCTGGGATCAGAACTGTCTGGTGTGTGTGTGTGTTGGTGTTCTCTCTCTCTCTCTCTCTCTCTCTCACACACACACACACACACACAGAGTGTTTCTCTCCCCTCCCAGCCCCTGGAGCCCGATCCCAGCGCCGAGGGACTCACCTACACTGAGCTGGACTGCCAGGCACTGCAGGGCAAGTGGGGCGGCCCGGCCCCTGGCCCCGAGCCCGTCCTGTATGCCATGATCAACGTGAACCAGGGGCTCAATGGGCATAGCCCCCAGGGTGCAGGGGCGCCCCCCCATAGCGTGAACCCAGGGGGAGTTATTGCAGTGATGGGGCAGGGAGTGTCGGCCACCAGGGGGTGACAGAGTGATTCCCCCCTGCAGAGAACGGGCTCAACTTATAGCCCCCCATAGCCCTCCCTCCAGCTGGTGCTGCCCCACCCAGTCCCACGGGTGGGGGGCCAGGAGGGCTCAGCACCGGGAGGGGGAGGGGACACGCCGAGGCAGCTGTTTGTGTTATTTTGCATCCTGTTCATCTCCAGATTTGTAATAAACCCAGAACCACAAACCAGCCTGTGACGTTCCCCTGGTGTTATCCGGCCGGTGATCTGCTCGGGCACTCCAGTCCTGCTCCGCTGTGAGACCCCCATAGGGTGACCAGACATCCCGATTTTATTGGGACTGTCCCGATATTTCCTTGTTTGTCCCGCGTCCCGACTGATGTGCGGTCGGGACACTGGACAAACAAGGAAATGCTCTGGACCCCAGAAGTGCTTGCCCCCCCCCCTTACTCCGCCCCTCCCCCCCCATTGGCTCCCTCCCCGAATCCCCGCCTCTTCCCCAGGCTCGCCATTCCTCCTCCCTCCGCAAGCGCTGGAGGGAGGCCCGGGAGACGCAGGGGAACCGCGGGGCCAGGGTGAGTGAGAGTCCGGCCTGGCCCCAGTGCAGGCAGGACTCAGTCGGGCGGTTGGGAGAGGAGGGGGGCGGCCCGCGGGGCCAGGCGGCGGCTGTTCTCCCCCCTGGGCAGTGGGACTCGGGAGCAGCCGCTACTGCAGCTCCCACTGCCGCGGGGGGAGGAAGCGGCCAATGGCCAAGCTCGGCGGCTGCGGCTCTGGTGCCCCCGAGCCGGGGCCTGCTG